TGGCTTTGTCTTTTTCCTTAAACTTTCTTTTAGTATTTTAGTAGCAGATGAATAGATGAAGTAGCGACAGGATTGATTATTTTACCTCTCTCGTCGAAATTTACTGAAATTGCATTTATCTTTAATATTTTCCTCCCCTTAGGTCTGTAATAAAAATCTTCATTAGCATAAAAAGTTATTCAGGTGACCACTTGTTGAATTCCTAAATTTTGGAACCATTTATTTATTTTTATCATATTATCAAGAAAAGGAAACCTACAATAAAAAAATAATAAACTTTACAATGATGTGATATTAAAATAAAGTCACAGGTTTTAATTTTCTTTATTTATGTTAATAAGTAATTAAATTTTACTATAATCATTATGAGACAGATGAAGACGAACTTAGCTGGGGTTTATTCTCTCTTAATTTTACTTTTTCGAAAATAAGAAAGTTTAATTGCAAATTAAAGGTGATTGCCTAATGCACCGCCTCTGATAATTAAGTTGTGTTTGTACTTATATATGATATAATCTTGAAGAAGCATTTTTTAAAACCCTTACAAGGCTCTAAATAATTGTATTTTACGTAAAATACAAACCAATAATTGACATGTCAGAAGGTGTCAGAACTCTCGCTGTCAAACTTGGCAACGTTGATTAAATAATCCAATTACAGAAGAGGCATTTCCCCCTTCGGGGAAGTTGATGTTGCTAACAAAATTTAGTGCGGGGAAGTGGGGAAGACTCCCTCTAGTGGTATTTGCTCGGAGTTTGAAGAATTATTAACCTATTCTGTCAAAATAAAAAAGTAGCTTTAAATAATTAGCGTGAAGTTAAAATGTATACATAGAAGGAGTTATATTTTCAATTTTGTTCGAAAGAAAACAGAATGAATGATTAAAACTGGTTTCCTATCAGTAAGTTACAAAATTGCATTCCAGCCACATATAATAATCAAAGGTAGAAATATAGTTCTTGCTGCATGAACATTTAAGATTAAAGGGATGTTGAAGAATATCGTGAAATGATGGTTATTGTTTATTTAAAACCTTTCAAGTTTGTGATGTCTACTATTTCCAGTATTACTGTTATTATTACAAAAATAAAGGTAATTTTTCTTCTTATTGTACACATATCCATTTATTTCTTTGATTTAATTTCCATTTTGCTACTAAAAAATTTTATAATTTACACTGTTATATTTTGCTAGTATTTTTACAATTTTCACTCCGGTTGCTTATTGTACTGTTTTTACCTACTTTTTGAAAAAAAAAAAGTAAAATGTATTTGATATGCCAAAATTACAAATTATCGCCCTAAAATGCATGAATTATCCACAGTTAGCGCTAGTATCGCTTTTGCTTCCCCTACCATGACTTTGCACTGAGCGAATAATATCACCCCAGCAAATCATTCTGTTACATGTTCCCTCCTGTTACATAACTAAGAAGGATAAAATATACCTAGACTGTCCTGTATGCACTTTTATGTGTTATTTATGGAACTGAACACCTAAGTTCAAACTTAGCACCATAGTTATATACCATGTATATCATTAAATATATGTTACAAAATTACATATCCGTTATATAAATTTAATCACATAAAGATTATATCAATTTATATATCTATGTGTAATCTACATTAAAGTAACAATTTGTACTAAATTATTTCGTTCAAAATGTTACATACCGTATACATAAATGCTGTTGACCAAACGGTCCTTGAAATACACATGTTTTTTAGGTAGGTAAGTAGGTATATCTGGTGCATTATTTTTAGTAGTGTTTCAATGTTCAATGGCGGCTATAGGCGTTTTATGGAGGTACCTGTGGCATTTTTGGATTTATTGTGGAAATAGCAGGTATGTTGTGTTTTTATAATGATATTGAGTTATTATATGTGTGTACTGTATTTCGATGATACATTTGAGGTGTAAATATTAATTTTTGTTCTCTTTTCAGGTCATGCTTGATGGGGCCCTGAATTTTGAGGCCGTGGATCGTCGTTAATAGCAGATATTTTGTGATTTTTATGATGAATTTGGGTTATTATATTTGTGTGAGATATTTCTATAATATATTTTTGGTTTCGGCTATGAATTTATCCAATAAAATTATTGATATACCTAACAAATACGTTTAAATTACTTTTTTTATTCCTCCAAATATTTTCGAAGTATTTGTCATACAGTGTGTCTACCTAAGTTAGAACCATATGGAAAACTTTTTTATTTTTGGTTATGTGAAAAAAAATTTTCTAGATAAAAAGTCCTGCATGGTCTAAAACTTAAAATGCAACCATCAGATATCAATTTTTTTGGGCTGCATACGAGGTTCGCTAAAAAAATACGAATTTTACTCAAGAGTAAAGTACCTTTATGTTCTACAATACAGAAGAATATTATAAAGTAAAGTTATTTTAAATTAAAAGTTATATTTAAATATGCAATTACAGCCATTTAGCATTAAAATTCAGGTTTGGTGATTAATTAATTTATAACTACAAATAATTTATAATGTAAAACGTAAATAATCACCTTATCTAAATTTTTATGCTAAATAACTGTAATTGCATATTTAAATATAACTTTTAATTCAAAATAACCTTACTTTATAATATTCTTCTGTATTGTAAAAAATAAAGGTATTTTACTCTTGAGTAAAATTCATATTTTTAGACAAACCTCGTATACGGCTTCAAAAAAATTATATCTGATGGTTGCATTTTAAGTTTTGGACCGTGCAGAACTTTTTATCACAAATACATTTTTTCACAAAACCAATAATACAAAAGTTTTCCATATGGTTCCAACTTAAGTAGACATACTGTATAACTATTACGTACATTTTTAGACGACACATTTACATATCTTCATTTATATAACATTTATAATACTAATGTTATATGAAAAAAGTAATGTATATGTGCTGTAATAATGAAGCATATTCAATGTTACAATGGTAATATAAATGTTACATGTCTTCCAATATATAACACTGTTCCTTACATGTACTTAACCCATTACATCACATATAAGGAACCTGCTATATAACAAAATTAGGTCATTTTTCACAGTAATCACGTGAGTTATTATGTAACATGTAAGTTACTTTGTTATGTAAGACGGAACTAGTACATGTAAATGATACATATATGTTACATGTTTGGGTTTGCTGGGACTGGAATATCTACATTGTTTCATCACAAAAGTAAACGTCCCTACTCTTGACTTAGATGGTTATGAGTCCGTCCTATAGATGAAAAAATGAGAGTTACAATGTGACAATATAACAATGTAATGTAAAGTTTTCACTAATTTAACGTTTTTATGCATAGTGGGAGTTTACCCACCTGGCTCCGTCCCGTTGAGCGTGGCGTACCTTGTATATATATTTTTCTTGTGCTTTATTTATTGTTCCATATTTATTTTAGTTTTTACGCTTTGAACTTGGTTTATGCATAAAAAGATCATTAAAGTACTAATAACGTAAATAAGTTCATTGTTTTATTTTAAACATGTTACGCCTCTGGTCAAATAACATTTGGTGTCAGAATGGAACACGATTTCCTGCGACGTTACGAGTCCTCTCTTTATACCTAGTCAAGGTTTTTACGAATTATACGTATCAGCTGATCAAAACAATATGCGAAAATAAATAGCCATATTCCCTTCGAGCATAACCCTAATAGAACAGTATTGTTACACGCACGTTCCAGAAACATGCACTTGGGACATTAGAAACGTCTCTGTCATGTTTCTTATCCTCCCTCAAATGTAACTGGGATGTTTCTGACAATGACCATGTCATCATTTGTAACGTGTTAGACGTTTCATAGAGTCGTTTGTGGAACATCCTGCGATGCCTTAGGTAAGTTTTTTATACTATTGCTGGAATGTTCCAGAAATCACCTAAACGTTTTTTTAGTAGGATAATCAAATCTATTACTTTTTCATAATTTATTTGAAAAAAAAAAATGTTTTTTTAACAAAAATAAAAAATTTCATTTTTACGTTCTGATTCATTGCGTCTATTTCTTTTCGGAGCCCTTCACAACCAGTCACCTATTTTAATTTTAATTTTCTTTTTGTTTACCAATTTACCGAATCTGAAAATGTTTCAATAAAATGATAATATAAACAACTGATATTAACTTTTATCTAAGGTTAAAATAATTACCCATAATGGCTTCAGCTATTTTTAACTTCGCGTCTTCCTTTTTTCCAACGAAAGAAAACAACTTACACAACTCGTTCCTTGTTAAGAGCTATGCATCTTCTAATAAATTCACACACATTATTGCTACCTAAAATAGTTATTTTTAAAGTTAACAAATAAAGATGGCATCGATGAATATTAGAAAACGCCTTTACAACGTCTCTAAAATTTTAGGTGGTTCCGGTATTACTCTGGAATTTAGAGATGGATATTAGCAAATCTGTAACTGTTAACTATATTTACGAATTTGTTATTTCCCATCTTTAAATTCACGCAATATAACTCGAACTTCGATTTTCGTTCAAGGACAACTTACCCAAGTCCGACTTAGCTGAGTTCTCTTTATAAATACGGACCTAAATTCCACTGCAACATTGGACCACTTGGAACTCTAGAGAAGTTATAACCGAACTTCGATTTTCGTTCAAAGACAAGTCCGAATCACCTGAGATTGCTTTATAATATTTTATCTAAGGTTTATAAGGTTTATAAATACGGGCCTTACGTTATGTTTGAGACATCAGCTTAACATTGAATACGTATCTATGTATCTGTAAGGTGGGGAGAGTGGGTTGATCTACATCACTTATGCCCCAAAAGGCTCATTGTGCATCCTCCAGGGGCTAATAAGACCTGCCTATTAACTTGTCCGGGATGTCTATAGGGATAGCCAGCCTCTCAGGTCAAAGGTCTGCAGGTTAATAACCTCGCTGATAGGTGTCTTTAGATGCCAAATTTTTGGGAAGTGGACATTTGGTGGGCTTCTACTACCCCAATAGTAAATGCCCGGGTGGTCATTCTGTCCGCTTTCTCCACAGTGCATAACATTGAATACGTAACATCTGTCTCTCTCTTTCTCATATGCTCCCTTTATCTATCCTAGCTGTGACGAAAGCTAATTTCTTTTTAAATTATCATGATTATGCTAGGTGGGTATATCGTGCTAGTAAAGACAGTAATCTATGACTTGGTATTGAACTTACATGTTACCAACTTTGTTTTGACGTCACACTATATTATCATTTACTGTACGGTACCTACCTATAACAAGAATGAAAAATGTTTGGTTTTATAATTTACTTATTATCCCGCTGAGGTTTCTACTAGCGGTAAAAGAAAGACATTACATAACAATCTACTTCTGACACATTATAATATTAAAACGCATATGTTTGTAAATGAGTTTTTGGTATTGCTTTGAATTTGCGACATTTGGGATGAGATTCCTTTTGTAATTGTCTAATTTCGTTATCTATTCTAACAATTTTCTCTCGCAGAACACAATGAAACGGTAAAGCCGGTCGTGCTTTTTTTGACGAATTTTTCAAATTCATTTTTCTGATTTCTTCATTAAAATTTTCGAGTTTATTTCGAATCATTTTCTTGTTATCCACCATCAGTTTTTTGTTTATTTCTTCAACCATACATAGAGCTTGAAAATTCATGCGTCGAATTTTTTTCTTTATTTTAGATATTTGCTGTTTTTGGTGAAGCTTCTGATAATTCGTCTTTGTACAAATGATGATTTTTTTGTCGGGCTTCGGTTCGCAGCATTGTATTCCAGTTAAGCTTTTCTTCTTTTTTACTAAATCTGTAAATACGTTTTTCGGTTTTTTATTTGACTGCTCGCTTGTTTCTTTTTTTAAATTATCGGGATTATCAATGCGTACACAAAGGCTTTTGGTTTTATTTAGTTTTTCTTGATTACCGGGTTTACCTAGATTTTTGGGACGTACATCATTTTTACAAGAATTTTTATTTGCTGCTTTTTCAACGCTTTTTTTAGTTTCAGGACTGAGAGGTTGAACTTCAGTCGAACCATTTTCTTTTAATATAACTGTAATTCCATGTCTGTGATTAGTAAAAGGATCTTTAACAGATTCTACTTGTTCGTTTAAATTAGTTTTCAAATCATCAGGATTAGCAGTGTGATCTTTTCCTTGGTTAACTGCATTCTTAATAACTGTATTATTTTTATTTAATGAATTCTTAATATTTGTGTCGTTTTTAAGCGATACATTCTTAATTGTTTCGTGTTTCTTGATAGCTGCATCATTTATGGTTGGTGAATTCTTAATAGATGCATCACGTTTAGTTGGTGAATTCTTAATAGATGCATCGTTTTTAGTAGGCGAATTCTGACTAGTTGTGTCATTTTTACTTGGTGAATTCTTAAGAGCTGCGTCACTTTTAGTTGGTGAATTCCTAATAGATTCATCATTTTTAGTCGGACGATTTTTAATAGCTGTATCACCTATAGTTGGTGAGTTCTTAATACCTGTATAATTTTTAGTTTGTAAATTCTTAACAGCTGCATCATTTTTATTTGGTATATTCTTAATAGCTGCATCATTTTTAGTTAATGAATTCTTAATAACTGTATCATTTTTATTTGGTTTTTTATTTATATTTTTAGTAGTTTTCTTTTCCTTTCTAGGATTTGGGGACATTTTAGATAGAAGAGTGTTTTCTATATCCGCATTCGGAGGTAAAATTTTGCTTTTAACTTTCTTCAATTGGTTAATTTTAGGTAACATACACGTGGACACATTGGGTGTATTTCTTGGTTTTCGACCCCTTCTGGAAATTACTGGAATTCCATTATGAAACTTTACAGCTCTCATTTTTAAAGTTTCTTTAAATTAATTTGGCACTATCAATTTATCAATTTTTGAAGAAATTACGAGAAGGTCCTCCTTATTTTCGACTATTTTCCATATACTACGATTTATTGAATTTCAATTATCCATCAAAAACATCGAAAATTAGGTACTTATTTCATTAAAATGACATTTCAGATTCCTTGGATTCAAAAAACTGTCCAATTTTTTTTTAGTTTAAGCTAGTTTCACATTTTATTCTAATAGGCATGCGTCTGATTAGTGCAGATTATTAGGTGTCTTTCTATGGAGTGTAGAGGTAAGGAGAACTATCTCTGATACAAAAAGTGTCCCCCAAAATGATAAAATTAAAATAGCGTTACTGTATGAAGCGTTTCTATACAAGGGGAACGCCGAAAGCACTGAACTATATATTAAACTTGAAGAACAAAGCCGATCAACAAAATCAAGCTACATGGCGAGGTGATATTTGACACACTGGCGCCCACACGTGCGTATCGAAATGCACTAATAAGGAACATCAAAATTAAATTTAATACTTATTACATTCAATTACACCTTTTAGTTTCACTTAAAAATGATTTTTGAGTAATACGCAGCTGAAACAAATGTTCCAATATTAATAATTATTAAAATAGCGAGTTATTAATAAAAAATAATATAATTTATCGTAGTACGCCTATAAGAAACGTCACGTAGAGTGCTCGAAATTGACAGACTGGCGTCCAAATTGTCATGCGCACCGACCGTTTTTTTCACCCATCTCGGCTTAAAAATTATGTCATATAGCCATCCAGTTTCACGCACTGACCTTGATATTAAACTGGATCGCTATATGACATAAACTCCATTCCTAATTTCTTTGATGCTATCTTCGAGGTTGGCAGTTTTCGTGCCATCCTCTTTAATTAGCGCACCAATGCTTTGGTGTGGATCTTTTGAGAGAGCTTTCTGAAGCCTCGCTGCCTGCGGGAAATCTTCGATTTCTTCGCAGTAGGATCTCCAAGCATCTGTCTGTTATTGTCTGATGATTTTTTTGTATTCTCTGAGGTGAGATTTGTAAGTATCCCAGTCCTCTTGGAGTTTTGTGGTTCTTGCCTTATTAAAGGATTTCGTCTGATCGTGTTGGACCAGCCTCAGGGACAGGATTTCTTATAGGCATTGTTTATTGTGCTTTGGATAGTGTTTGAGTACTTCTCCAAAGCATTGTTATTGTTTGGTGTTTCGGCCTTCATCTTTCTCAGAGCCTCTTGGAGAAGGTGGACATAGAAATGTTATCGGACACTTGCCAGTTTAGAATTGATTTATAGATACCAGTTGTTAAGTCTTCACTTATTTAGTATAAATTTAAATTGAAAATTATCATCCAGTATGAAACGTAATATTTCACATATATATTATTCTAATTACTTCGCCAAGACGGTATTGCCCTAATTGGTAAAAAACCATCCGCGTGGCGAAGAACGAGTCTTAAATTCGACCAGGCGAAACCTCAATATCGCCTTAAATGTCGCAGAGTACGTGTGTTCAAGCTTTGTGACCATTCGATACAAACCGGCAAATCTACATTCCCGAATATTCAAATACCAGCCTTAAAATACAGTCCACGGCCCCTGCAGCTTGGGGTGGATGCGCCAAGAAGAGAAGTCTGCATCAGGAAGCCAAGGAAATTAAAGGTAGGACCTGATTGACGAAGCTTTAAATTTTCTTTCGCGCGTGACATACCGTAGCTTAACCATAACCTATTCACTAGTTGTGGATAAAGTGATATCTATTAGTGTTTGACTGCGACAGTTTGAAAATGTTGGTGTAGTACCTTTATTTAAAATGTAAAGATTTTTGATAATTATATAATCATAAAGTGACTTACCTCTAGCGTTGTTATCCTTACTGCCCCAACTGAAGTGATGAGCGTTTGAGTCGCAACCTATTACCAGCCCAAACTTCTGTTCCAGGTAGTATGCAATCAGATCCTCCATTTCTTTGCTGGGTGATGTCGTGGTTGCATCGGAAGGGAGGCATGCAGATGCCAGGTTAACGTTTTTTTCCCTTTTGATGATGGCGTATTCCATCCTAACTACAGTTAAATCGGAGGTGGAAAGATGCGCCATTGAGTGGGCTTTGTATTTCCCAGGAATTTAAATAGCTGTCCTAGGTTGTTGGTTGCTGGGAAAGCTAAAAATTGAACCATTTAGATTTTTAAGACCTAAAATTTTGGTTTTTATTATCCAGGGTTCCTGGATGAAGTGCTATTGTATCTTGCAGCTTCATCAAGGCGGCGGCATAATATTTCCTTAGCCACCCTTTTGTGCTGCAAGTTACATTGTATGGTAGTTACCTCTTTTATTGCTTCTTGGTCTTCCGTTAAAAATTGGGAAGCAAGGTAGTTTTTTTGTTCAACCATCCCTTCCTCCGAAAGTGGGGAGAGGCTGATCTCTTGTGGCTCCTCGGAGTTTTTATGCTGGAGGTCATCGATTGCTATTTTTTCTGGCTCGATATCCTCCACTGTTGGCTTGAATTGGAGGGAAGAGGGTCCTTTACCAAGGAGTCTTCACTGGGCCCTGCTTCAGCCTCTTTTTCAACCTTTGGCTTTATATTCAATGAGGTGAACGCATAGCTCATCTTCATTTATTTGGCCTTTAGGGTTCCCATTTCTTCGTTTCCGATGCCGAATCCGAAGAGATGGCCCTTGGGGTCTTTTTTTATTTCATGGTGGAAGGTGCACCATTTCGCCACATGCAAGTTTGGGTTTTGCCTGAGCACAACCTCCTTCTCGTCAAGGTCAGCTTGCGCTTTCCCCGGGATCCAGAGAGAGGCTTTGGTAAGCTTGGGGAGCTCGTCCATCCTTACAACAGCGAGTGTTGCTTCTTCCCATGTTTTTAAGGTTGTTACCTTGGTTTTTAGCCATTCCAACGTCAGGTCATCGTCGCACGTTACTGTGATGATTGCACCAGAGTGCGTCCAAGACCTGAAGGTGGGTGGCTTGGTTTTGCTGCAGGAGGCGGACAAAATTGTTTTGTCCAGCTCTCCCATTAATGTCTTTTTGACAAGGATTTCTCTTACGGTAGTTATCTTACCGTAAGGGTTATCCTTGTCTATTATAGCTACTTTCAGGTGACTCATAGCTGCATCCTTGTAGCTTATCCCAGACGGAACTTTGTGGTCTGTCTGGGTTTTCCCCTTCCGGGGCGTTACCTCGGAAGAGGTGTAAGATCACGACCTTTTCTTGTCCCTAGTTGCGTCGTGTTCCTGGCCTCTTGTGGAGGCAGAACTATCGTCGCTAAGGACTTGATTAAGCCGCTTTTGTTTATTTTGGAGTGAGGGAGTTTGCTGAGGGTGGCGGTTACCGTAGCACTGCCTGCCTGCAGCTTATCCCTCTTCCTCCTCTTTGCTTCAGACCCAGAGATTCTTTTGCCTCTTTGGAGCCTGTTAATTGGAGGTGAACTACTGTGTCCATCCTCCTTTTTTGAAGTTGGGCGTCGCTGTCCAGCCTCCTGTGCAGAAGCTGAACTTTGTTGTCCACGCTCCTTTGCAAAAAGTGAGCGTTGACGTCCATATCCTTCTTTTTTTGAGGTGATCGTCGTTGACCAGCCTCCTGCGCCGGAGTTGGAGTTAGTCGTCCAGTCTCCTTTGCTGGAGGTGAGCGTCGACGTCCAACCCCTTCATGTTTTTGTATTTCAGAATTCATATGGTTCCCACGGGTAACTAATGAAGGAAAGTTCGACCGACGCAGAGCTCCGCACGCGCCGGCAAGGCTAGATACAAGAGGGTGTCGCCAGGTTCCCTCAGGGGAGCGTTTGCTACCGCATCTGCTCCTGTGACAATTCATCCTTTGGCACGTTACCTTACACCTTAGATTGGGAGAGTTGGTTCGCGGCGGTAGCCTTCGCAAAAGAGTTTTTATTTATTTTTTATTATTAACTCGCTATTTTAATAATTATTAATATTGGAACATTTGTTTCAGCTGCGTGTTAATCAAAAATCATTTTTAAGGATTTTCTTAAATTAAAAGATGTCGTAGTTGATTGTAATGTTAAATTTAATTTTGATGAACTTTTTTAGTGCATTTCGATACGCACATGTGGGCGCCAAAATGTCAAATATCACCTCGCTACACATACTTTGATTTTCTTTCACTATACGGAGAATGGTCGCACTGCGCAGCTTTCTGAGTGCCTTTTAAAAGAAGATAGAAAACTTCGCCATTTTGAAACCCTTATTACGTGTTGCCTACATCTTGGAGCAATATTTTTAATAGGTGCGTTTTAATCATCCGCTTCTGCTTCGGAATTGTCGGTTTTCTTGTTTTAATCTGACAGGTTAAAACGACTAAACCGAGAATTCCGGAAGCAGAAGCGGATGATTAAAACGCAAGTGATATTTTGCTTGCTGCTGTCAGTGTCAGTGAATATTATTTTTGAAGTCACAGTTTATTGCTAAAGAATCAGTTAGCTCACTCGGACCAGTTGAAAGTTCCAAAATAACATCCACTTCAGGGATATAAATTCAGGATACGCAGAAGACTGCTGTTTTATTATAGGCGGTTGTTATATATTGTATTATCCGAGTTGCACAGTGTATAAACTGAAATATTGAGATCAAAAGTGCCGACGCAGAGTGAGCGATCTGATTCTTTAGCTGTAAACTGTGTCACAGGGTTCAAAATGGCCGCGCCCTATGTTGGGCGTGTCGGACCTCTCTCTTGCCTCGTATAGTAGTCAAAGTATGTGCCTCGCTATGCGGCTTGATTTTGTTGATCGGCTTTGTTCTTCCAGATTCATATATAGTTCAGTTGTTTCACGGTTTGTAGACAACACGGTGGCCTCATCACGGTTGCTAAGGACACAGTGACGTCACGAAATGAAAAAGTGAGTTGAGAGAAAATATTTTACTTCATGTTGTACATTAGTTTTTTAAAAAATCTAATATTTTATTTTTATGTAGTGGTGTTTATATTTTTATTTTTAAACTTTGTTCTTGTGTTGTAGTTTTTATAATATCGGTAGCACAAAATAACCCACGTAATGTAGGTTATTCTGTGTCGGTAGTGTGATTTTTTGAAAGACAAGCCACAAAACGGCATGGAAAAATCGTGTAATGATTTCCATCAAATTTCAAATAAATTACTTCTTATTTGAATTATGAAGAGAAATATTATTGTGTGAATGGTTTATTTTAAACATTTTGGATTATGGTACGGCCTAAGAGCTGAATTCGGATCACAATTTGTGTATATCCCGAAATATTTTGAAATTTTGGCAAGCCTGTAGCTAGCCGTAGTGTTGCTGTTGTCTGCCAAAAGTTCCAACTAATTTTTACAGACAAAAGTCGTTAGAAGTAATAAAGGGACCGAGCCTAAACTGAAATTTAAGGCTTATGGTAAGATTTTCGAGTATTATTCTGAAAATATCATTCACTATTATTAAATTAATTGCAGCTCTGTCCACCCGACATTTAAAAGCAAACGACACGGTTTCTTACAAGCATTAAACACAACAAAAAGCAAGAAAAGTCAAAGTGCTTTACTAAAAGAACATACATTATTAAAAAAAAGAGTTTTCTACAGGAACTTTTTAGTAAAAAGTAGTTACAAATCATTTTATAGAAGAAAACAAGGACCCGCTGGACTTCAGAAGAAACATAAAATGTATATTTATATCAGAAATAAAAAATATATTTTGTCAGTTTCTAGGATGTATGAACAGTATAATATACAAAAAAAAATATTAAAACAACAACAATAACAACAACAACAACAACAACAACAACAACAACAACAACAACAACAACAACAACAACAACAACAACAACAACAAACAACAACAACAACAACAACAACAACAACAACAACTCAGTTTTATCACAATAATCTATAAATATAATTACCAAATTAGAGAAAAACAGTTTAATATACATACTAGCTATTGCCTGCGGCTTTGCTCGCGACTTTGCTCGCATGTAGTCGTGTTATTAATATAAAAAAATACATGACTTCCTTTTTTTATTAGTTTTATTGATTTTCATTCATTTTCATTCATTTTTTTTATATTTATTCATATTTATTCATATTTATTCATATTTATTCATATTTATTCATATTTATTCATATTTATTCATATTTATTCATATTTATTCATATTTATTCATATTTATTCATATTTATTCATATTTATTCATATTTATTCATATTTATTCATATTTATTCATATTTATTCATATTTATTCATATTTATTCATATTTATTCATATTTATTCATATTTATTCATATTTATTCATATTTATTCATATTTATTCATATTTATTCATATTTATTCATATTTATTCATATTTATTCATATTTATTCATGTTTATTTATATTTATTCATGTTTATTCATATTTATTCATATTTATTTATATTTATTCATATTTATTTATATTTATATTTATTCATATTTATTCATATTCATATTTATTCATATTTATTCATATTTATTCATATTTATTCGTATTTATTCATTTTTGTTCATTTTTATTCGTTTTTATTCTTTTTTATTAATTTTTATTAATTTTTATCAATTTTTATTAATTTAATTTTTATTAATTTTTATTATAAGAACTAACTTTTATTTTATTAAACAAAATATATACAACACAAATATTACAAAATTAATTAATAAAGTATTACAACTTCTTATTCTTGTTCTTCTTCTTCCTCTTCAAAATGTGCTAGATTCGTCCTTTACTACTCTCCTCGGGTTACGTATGCGTCAGTTGAACAGAAGAGAATTTTGGGTGCTGCCATCTGCGAGTGTGGACTTGAACTTACCGGTGTAATCATGAACGTAATCCTGGTTGCCGATACTTCAGGGGCGCACGGTTATATTCTCCCCCTCTGGTTGCGAAGTCTTCTGGACGAGGAAACAGTAACTCTTTGTAACCGGGTGCCTAAGGGAGATTCGTCGGGCGTTACATGGAGTAATGGTTTTGTAACTTTCCGTGGTCTACCTCGCCTTCTGATAGGTTTCACAGGTTTAGGGGTGTCGATGTCACCGACAAATGGAGTTATGCTAGAGGCATGATATACCCCTAGTGGCGTTTCAGGGTTGCCAAGCTCAGCTACTTCATAACTGGCAGGACCTCGTTTACATAGAATGAGATATGGTCCATCTCGACGTGGTGCCAACTTGGAGGAAAATCCTTTGGCTGCGTTACTTAGATTGTGACTTTTAATCCAAACCCGATCTACTTTATTGTGGGTAGGATGGGGACGTCTACTGGCGTATTCGATAGGGTGTTCATTTTCACTCTCCCCCTGGACTAAAACTGCTCCGAGGGCGTAGGCACTAGCATCTGTTTTTATTATAAATGACTGTGTATCATCAGCTTGTTTCAACACAGGCGTGGTAGTAAGATAAATTTTTAGTTGACTAAAGGCTTCTTTAGGTGAGAGTTCTATCTCTATTGAAAACAGTTCGTATCCGGTAGAATTCCTGGGCGGACTGTACGTAGCCGGTAGCGAATCTCTAAATATGTCTTCAATGGTATTAGGCGAATATTGACCATGGTTGTCATATATTTCAGCCAGGGGTAGACGAACAGGCGGCGATAAATTAATTTTTTGCAACTTGTCGGTCGTTCTTCGTCTGCTAGTGGTGAAGCTAAAAGATCGAGAAATGGAGAATTGTACTGACTAACCTCATTAGAACAGATTGGATTAGTATTTTGAGCAGTGGGTGTATACCTTAAGTCGGATATTTTCTCCTTGTCTGCTGATATGAATTCGAATATCTCGTTGGGCTTGTCCATATAAAACCAACACCTCTGGGGTGGTATTAAAGCCATACCCGATTTTTCCAAAAAGTCAATGCCCAATAGTGTACGATTGTCTTTGATTGTCGGTAGAATTATGAATTCAATATCGAATATACGTGTCTGTATTTTAATATCTACTGTTATGGTTAGTATGTTCTGGGTTTGACTAGAACCATCTGCCAAAGTTACCGTAGCTTGTCTACTTCTGAAAGTTACGGAGGGTGCTTGCTTCAGGCATTCATAAAATGATCGACCTGCGACGCTAGTCTTAGCCGCTGTGTCAATGTGGGCTATGCCAGCTATTCCTCTCACTATTACGGGAATAGTAG